GTAAGTAAATAGGTAAACTAATTTGTCCATTTGTTAACATACATGTTTGGAAAACCTACTTTATGACTACACCTTTAACAACACCCCTCTCACCCAAATTAGTCCACTATATCGAGGTTTTACTGTATAGTAACTTATGAAAAGGATCTCAACCATTATTTAATTGCTCTTTACAAAGAGACTTAAGCAATACTTCAAAAAATACTCCACATTCATTAAGAGCTGGAATCTCATTTTCTACCTTATAAGTATGTGTGTGTGTATGTTTATACCATTTAAAAAAAGAAAATTACCTTTTATCTAAAGGCTTTATTTTTAATTTTCAATAACATAAAATGTGAAAAGTACAGCCTCAAATTTATTACTACCTACATTGCCTGAGACTAATGAGAAAATCAGAATGAATAGTTTTGTTTCCAAAATATCATTTTTATGGGGGGTGGGAGGTGGATTATGTAGTATAAGTACTACAATGTATCACTTTCAGATTCGAGAATATTTCCTCTGTAAACTATCTTATTTGAAGAAAAAACTACTGTACCAAAAGCAACTATTCTAAGTAAAAATTTCTAAGTCAAATAATTGATATAAAAGGATTTCCAGATGTTAAAATAATACTAGCAAAAGAAACAAATGTAAAGTTTAAAATTACATTAAAAATAATGGATTTTTAAAGTATTTCTATGTCTCTACTTATGAGTCAACTTGCCTGAACTGCAGATATTAAAGCCTGAAAACATAAGACTCTAGCCCTGACTTTGCCTCTTAATTAGCCAGGAATTTGGCTAAATTCCCTAATCTCTCAGATCCCATTTTCCATGTAAACCAGGTACTAGCCAGAAAATAAAATTTCAGGATCAATAAAGCCTTCCAGATAACACAGCCTAGAGCCCCACCATTCTACAAATGTAGAAACAGAGGCCTAGAGATTTTAGAGAACTGTCCTTAATTCACACGTGCACCAAACTAAATCTAATATACAAATCTAGTACTTATGCCATGAAACAGATATAAGTTTAAGGAAATAGTTATTCTTTATATAAAAAAATAGCTGATTCATTACCAATAGTAGCATGATGAAAATGAAAGCTCTTATTGTCTGCCCCTTTTCCGATCAGTAAATTGCTTGTTCATATCATTGAACAAATTAAATATGAATCCAGTGTTTCATTATGTACTATGTGCTATAATAATGTAGTTAGTTATTATATACTAGAGGCCCAGTGCACAAAATTAATGCATGGGGAGTGGGCGGGGGGGGGGGGGGCGCATGGGATGGTCATTCAATCCTGCATGCACCCTATAACAATCCAGGACCGCTGGCTCCTTACCACTTGCCTGCCAGCCTGCTTGATTGCCCCTAACCACTCTGCTTGTCTGCCTCATCGCCCCTTAACAGCTCGCCTGCCTGCCTAATCACCCCTAACCACCTCTGCCTGCCTGCCTCATCGCCCCTAAACACTCTGCCTGCCTGATCACGCCTAACTGCCTCTGCCTGCCTACCTGATGGCCCCTAACTGCCTCTGCCTGCCTGCCTCACTGCACCTCACATTACACTTTTATTATTATAGATACGTGCCTTGCTCCAAGTTGTAAGGAAGTGCTTGTCATAAAGATAAAAAAGTTTTAATTTTTACTCTTGATTATGGCAATTAACTAACACAGATGGCCACCAAAAAGGTGACTTACCAGTGTACAGCAAATGGTGCTGTTAAGTCCTCTTCCGTGGAAACGTGCATGTCGTGCATTGTATCTGCCTGAGTACACGAAAGAGTTAAGCTTCTGTCTGTCTTTGCAATCATATGAGCGAATTGTGTGAGACCCCAGCCCAGTCTGGTTTGGTGCTCACAGAATAATACAGCTTTTTTTTTTCTTTGCTCCATTGGTAGAGATTTCCTAGAAATTACAGGATATCTTCCTTTTAATTTTCCCTCGACACTGACTTAAGTCTCTCACCTTTGCTTTCCCTCCATCTCCTACCTGCAACAGTAACTTGCTCCAGGCTCAATTCACTTGAGTGTCTAGGACAGTGGTTCTCAACCTTCCTAATGCTGCAACCCTTTAATACAGTTCCTCATGTTGTGGTGACCCCCAACCATAAAATTATTTTCGTTGCTACTTCATAACTGTAATTTTGCTACTGTTATAAATCGTAATGTAAATATCTGATATTCAGGATGTATTTTCATTGTTACACATTGAACATAATTAAAGCATACTGATTAATCACAAAAACAATATGTAATTATATATGTGTTTTCCAATGGTCTTAGGTGACCCCTGTGAAAGGGTCGTTCGACCCCCAAAGGGGTTACAACCCACAGGTTGAGAACTGCTTGTCTAGGAGATCGCGAAACGTGTCCACCACCAGAACCACGATTCCCAGCATTCCTGGTGCTCCCCGCGCTCTTGGCTTCCGCTTCCAGTCCAGGGGCCACCATCAGAATTATGATTCCCAGCATTCCTGGTGCTCCCTGCACTCTCAGCTTCCACTTATGGCCTGAGGTCCCTCGCCTCCCGCCACGCAGCCAGAGCCCCTCCCCTCCTCCGTGTGGCCAACGTCCCTCGCTCGGGCCCGAGGCTGCTCTGGCCAGAAGCCCCTCCCCTCCTGCCGCGTGGCCAGGGTGCAGCCGCTGGACTCACGTTACCAGGGCAACACCGCCAGCGTCCTGCCCCTGCCACTATGGGTGCCGCCATCTTTGTCACGGAGTGATGGTTAATTTACATATTACTCTTTTATTAGATAGTACTAGTAGCCCTGCGCACAAATCCGTGCACCAGTAGCTCGCAGCCTTCCTCCAGTAGCTCTCCGCTCGCTGCCCCGCCTTCCTATAGTTCCCTCCGCCCCCCCATGTCCCCCTCATAGCTTGCTGCCCTGCTCTCTCCTGTAGCTCTCTGCCACCCACTTATAGCTTGCTGCCCCACCCTCCTGCTAATCCGTGATCCAGTTGTTACGTGGTCAGTCATTACACTTCATGGCGTAACCAACACTTGCATATTACATCTTTATTATATAGATAGAAATTATACTATACGCACTGCTATTAAACTTTGGGGTTCCACAGAAATACTAAAGGTGGAAAGATTCATAGACTATAGACTCCACTCCACACTCATCAGATCTAACTTTTCTTTAAAATAACTCTTGAAATTTCCATTGGTTCTTCAAGCAGAATTTTAGTTTTAAAAACTAAGATGAAGGTTCTGTCCAGCTAACTCAGTTGGTTAGACAATCATCCTGATACACTAAGATTGTGGGTTAGACCCCTGTTCAGGGCACATACAAGAAACATCCAATGAATGCATAAATAAGTGGAACAATGAAGCAATGTTTTGTTTTTTCTCTCTCTCTCCCCCTCTAAAAATCAATCAATAAAAAAAATATAAAATATAAAACATAAAAACCAAGATAATTCAATACTGTATATATCTGAACAAATGTCAATTGGTACTTTTAAAATAATAGTAATATATACAAGTTTTCATTCTATAACCTGTTAAAGCAACACATGCAATTGACACTATTCTAAGAATATAGATAATACAGAGTGGGACAAAAGTAGGTTTATAGCTGCTTGTATGAAAACAATATAATAATTAATAAATAAGAATATAAGAATAAGTTGTGAGTTTTGCACACTCACAACTGTAAACCTTCTCCCCTACCCTGTGTATTTCTATCTGCATAAACTACTATACTTATAGTTTAGATAGCCTTTAAAAGGTTGAAAATATTTTTGACCTTGACACAAATACCCACTTTTGAGAATGTCTAAGCTTATTTTCTCCTAACAAGAAATCCAATCAAAGCAAGTTGACTAGAAATTCCTATTACTCATGAGGAATACATAATAAAGCCCCCCTCCCCACAAAAATAAAATTTTGATGTTTCTTTCCTCTTCCTACTTTTCTTTTACATGTTATAATCAAAGATATCTAATCATAATTTACGTTTTTTAAAGTCTGTAAGTGAAAATAATTAAAAGCATCTAACATCAAGCTGCCCGGGAAGAAAGCTTAAAATTCTGTAACGAGAACATAATACTTTCCATCCCCCAATATACCATCATTGTTTAAGACTTAAAATAGCAAATTAGAAAAGTATTTTAGTCTGTATTTCTAAGCCAAGTTAAGTATAATTGCTCAGACTTATTACTGCTGGCATTGCACTTTCATATTTACTTCTCACTACATCCCTTAGAATAAAAATAATTATTCCCATTTTACAGGCTCAGAGAGTTTACAATACCATCCAAGGCTGTAGACTCTGTAAATGTAAGATTTAGAACACAAACCAAAATTTTATGATGGGTGGATCATGAGTGAAAGCATAGCAACAATAAGGGAAATAGCATTTCCTAGGATAGCTGGTAGATCCACTTACTATTAGCATATTTATGCACTGCAGTTGGGATATAAAGGTTGGAAAGAATCAGTGGAGTCCAATTTTATAGCTCCTAAATACTGACTCAGAAGGTAAATTTCTCCAACAAACAGTGAAAAGCACCCAGGGATTTTTAAATAGGGTGCATTATGAGAAAGAAGAATTAAACTTGCAGCAAGGGGGAGAAAGACATTTACTGAGGACCCATTAGCACAGTTCCATGTGGGATGAGGGTAGGGAGAGATTAAGCCAAGGATTTATATGTATATATGCGTAACCCATGGACAGAGACAATAGTGTGATGAAGGCCTAGGTGGAGGGGTGCAGGGGGCAGATGTGGGGAGGAGGGGGGTCAATGAAGGGAAAAAGGGAGACATAGTATTTTCAACAATAAAGATAATTTTTTTTTAAGGCTGGAGAGATGAGAAGCATTACATGAGGTGGTAAGGCCTTATTTATAAAGCAACTTGAGCCCTCAATACTATACTAAAATATCATAACTTATGGAGTAAAAATATGGCACAGTCTAATAGAAATTTATCATCTTACCAATAAGACAAAACAACACTGATGAGCTAAACATCAAAGAGTATCCAATGTTTATAAAGAGCCTTACCTTAGATCAGGTGATTCGGCCCTCCCATATCGATCCTGCCACTTCCCAACGCTTGAATTGGCTTTTCTGGAGGCAGAACTTGTCTGAGACTGAGAAGAGGTGCTGTTTCTGGTGAGATAAATTTTCTATGTTTTTTTCTTATATATTGTTGCCTCTGACCTCCCCTCTTTCTGTCTCCCCGCCTTAACATGATTTTTCTAATATCCTTAATTATGTTCCTATAGTATCATTCTCTTCAAGTCACACAAAATATTTGCTGTGGTACTAAGACAACTAACAGTGTTTAAATATAGACATGTCATCAACATTTTATTAACTCCTGAATATTTTTAGAAATATTTCACATAGACGGTAGCATGTAAAAATGCAGAAAAGAACCAATACATTCTTCAGGTTGTAATATGTAGCCGAGAAATAAATTTCTGAGCTTTTATGAATTAACTAGAGGCCTGATGCATGAAATTCGTGCACGGGGGAGGGGAGTGTTCCCCCTCAGCCCGGCCTGCACCCTCTTGCAATCCGGGACCCCTCAGGGGATGTCTGAATGGCGATCCAAGGGATCGGGCCTAAACCGGCAGTTGAACATCCCTCTCGCAATCCTGGACCACTGGCCCCTAACCACTCTGCCTGCCTGCCTGATCATCCCTAACTGCTTGCCTGCCTGCCTGATTGCCCCTAACTGCCTCTACCTCGGCCCCACCGCGCGGCTTCGTCCAGAAGGATGTCTGGAATGACATCCAGAAGGTCATTCGGCTGTCCAATCTAATTAGCATATTATGCTTTTATTATTATAGGTAACATTAATTCAGTTTCACAAAATCTTATTCAAAATTTTGGTATTTCTTTCCCCATATTCTTCCCCTGCTCCTATATTCTTTAATAAGGTATAAGTATTATAATTAGGGTAACCAGTTAATAGTAACACTGATATGTTTCATAAAAACCTACACTAGTAAGTATTTCATAAAAATTCAAAGTATTAACTCTTTAAAAGATTCGAAAATATACATATATTTATGTATCTGTTTATGTATAAAAACACCAACACAAATAAACCAGAAACTAAATGAAATGAAACTGATTATTGACAAAAGTGAAAGAAATAGAAGAAAGAGTGACAAATCTGAGTATACTTTGAATAGCCTTGCTTTGGAACTATGTTAAATGTTTTATGTATGTAAAAAGCAAACATGTCAATAAGCATGAAGAAAAAGAAATGCAAATACTGAATACAAACAGAAGCAATGGAGCAAATTATATTTTTAAATGATTAATATAATCACTCTGAAGGAAACTTTTGAACACAGTATTTTGACTATCTAACCTCAATATAAAAAAAAAGAATTGCAAAGATATCTTGAACTCTTAGTTTTGTAATGGTAGGTGTTGATGTTGTAATGTATTTTGTACGTATTATAAAATGAAGCAAATGAGAAATATTGAAGTTGTTGGAAACTAGGTTTTCACTGCAGGAAAAGGGAAATGCACTAGGAAAAGAAAAGTAGGACCTTGTAGTGTCAAATTTTGAAAAAGAAACATGATGATTGTATAATTAAAATTTATAAATAGAATATACACATGGCAAATTTCATATTGAAATTGCTTGGGTTTTTTTCTAGCCCTGGGTGCTGAAAAGATCTGGAAATAACAACACCCCAGTGGAATGAGCATAAACAATGGCAAGATGTTGTTTTCTAATGACCATTTCCCACTAAATGGCATCAGAGTGCCTTTAAGAAATGGCTACTTCCAGGGAAGGGGTAGGGAAGGTACAAGATAAGCCTGGAACATCTGGTTATGCCAAAATATAAAAATAAAAAAATTCAAAAAAGAGGAAGGGACATATCAACAGGTAACAGGAGCTAGTTTGAAGAGGCCCCCATGGACCAAATCTGAAACAATTTGAGTATCAATTACAGTATGTATGAATCATACATGTAGTTTATATACCACACATACAAAAAAGCCACATACATGCTCTCTCATACATAAAATAAAAATACGTTTGACTGATAAATATAAGTGTGGGAGATAAGAGCTCATTGTTAAAATAGAATGCCAATTAATAAATATAAGAGAAATAACAGAGTTAGATAATCACTATTTTGAGCCATTACATTAATAATTTAGAAAGCAAAAATGATCAATGGATAGTAAAATTCTTGGAAACTTCAAAGAGAAACAGGATATATTTACGTGATCTCCTCAGATTACTTATTAAATACACAGAGAAAACTAAGGGTGCAGAAATTCAAAGGACACCACCACAAATAAGTTATTAAAGTTATCATCCTATATAAAAAAGTGGTAATATGCAAATTAACTCTCACGCCCTCACAAGATGGCTGCCTACGACCAGGCCAGCAGGGGGGATAGTGAGGGACAACCAAATGACTGAACAGCAGGCTGTGTGGGGCGACCAGGCCGGCAGGGGGGATAGTGAGGGACGACCAAATGACTGAACAGCAGGCTGTGTGGGGCGACCAGGCCAGCAGGGGGGATAGTGAGGGACGACCAAATGACTGAACAGCAGGCTGTGTGGGGCGACCAGGCCAGCAGGAGGGTTAGTGAGGGACGACCAAATGACTGAACAGCAGGCTGTGTGGGGCGACCAGGCCAGCAGGGGGGATAGTGAGGGACGACCAAATGACTGAACAGCAGGCTGCGTGGGGCGACCAGGCCAGCAGGAGGGTTAGTGAGGGACGACCAAATGACTGAACAGCAGGCTGCGTGGGGCGACCAGGCCGGCAGGGGGGATAGTGAGGGACGACCAAATGACTGAACAGCAGGCTGTGTGGGGCGACCAGGCCAGCAGGGGGGATAGTGAGGGACAACCAATGACTGAACAGCAGGCTGTGTGGGGCGACCAGGCCAGCAGGGGGGATAGTGAGGGACAACAAATGACTGAACAGCAGGTTGCGTGGGGCGACCAGGCCGGCAGGGGGGATAGTGAGGGACGACCAAATGACTGAACAGCAGGCTGCGTGGGCGACCAGGCCGGCAGGAGGGTTAGTGAGGGACGACCAAATGACTGAACAGCAGGCTGCGTGGGGCGACCAGGCCGGCAGGAGGGTTAGTGAGGGACGACCAAATGACTGAACAGCAGGCTGTGTGGGGCGACCAGGCCGGCAGGAGGGTTAGTGAGGGACAACAAATGACTGAACAGCAGGCTGCGTGGGGCGACCAGGCCGGCAGGAGGGTTAGTGAGGGACAACAAATGACTGAACAGCAGGCTGCGTGGAGCGACCAGGCCAGCAGGGGGTATAGTGAGGGACGACCAAATGACTGAACAGCAGGCTGCATGGGGCGACCAGGCCAGCAGGGGGGCCATGAGGGGCAACCAGGCTGGCGGGGGGGCAGTTGGGGGAAACCAGGCCAGCGGGGGGTTGGCAGTTGGGGGTGACCAGGCCTGTGGCGGGGGGGGCAGATAGGGGTGACCAGACCGGCAGAGGGGGGTGGGGAGGACAGTTGGGGGCAATTAGGTTGGCGGGGGTTAGGGGGGGCAATGAGGGGCAACTAGGTTGGCAGGGGGGCAGTTGGGGGTGACCAGGCCAGTGGGAGGGACAGTTAGAGGCGACCAGGATGGCACAGGGGCGGGGGGCAGTTAGGAGCGAACAGGCCAGCAGGGAGGGGGCAGTTAGGGCGACCAGGCAGGCAGGCGAGCGAATAGGAGTCAGTGGTCCAGGATTGTGAGAGGGATGTCCGACTGCTGGTTTAGGCCCGATCCCCCAAGGGATCCCAGATTGGAGAGGGTGCAGGCTGGGCTGCAGGGACCTCTCCCTGCCCTCGTGCACGGATTTTGTGCATCAGGCCTCTAGTCACTATTAATGGGACAAAGTGACATCAGGTACCTTCAGGATGATGTGGTGAGGACAAAACATCACTTACATAATATTCCTGCCCAAAACCAAAACCTGAATCTAGTAACAAGGAAACATCAAAACAATTGGAATGCACTCTTCACAATCAATGTTAACAAATACAAAGAATGTCTGAGATGCTGCCCCAGATTAAAGAAGAAAAAAGAGATAAAAAAGCTAGTAAGTGATCCTAGACTAAATCCTAAATCAAAAAGGAAAGAACTTCCATAGAGATAATTACCAAAATTTATGGTTGCATTATGTATTAAATGACATTACTGTCTTCTCCCTACAGTCAATAAAATTTTATTACTTCAAAGATGTCTAATTTCCCTAAAAATAAAAAATAGAAATAAAAAAACAAATATTTTTATTTAGGGGAATACTTCACAATCACTGAAAAGTACCCTTTTGAGCAGAAGAATCCAGAAAACAAACTTTCCTAATTAAAAATGGGTACTATTCTTTACATCCAAAAGTAACATGTTAGGTATGTTTCTATAGATTGTGTTGGTAATTATCCATTCTTTTTAGTAAAAATGCTAATTTTTCTATCATTTCTTCATTTTCTTTATACCGTCCCTTACCCACCACTGTCTCCCATCTCGCCTTAGATCCATGGTCCATCAAGACACTCCCTCCCTCAAGTACACTCTCACCTTCCTTGTCCCTGCCTATCCCCTGATATAATCTCAACCTCTGTAAAATCCAACAGTAGCTACTCTTCATAAACACATGAATACCTAACAAGGGCAAAAGAAACACAGCAGAGCAAAATGACTTATTTTAAACCCATGGTCATTAACCTCAAGAAAAGCTGGGAATGTTATCTCTTCCCCCCATGTCATCAATTTTTCACTTTACTAACTCATTCCTATCAGCATATATAATGCTGTAATTTCTCCCATCTTGAAATAAAAGTACTCTCTTGACTCCACATTTCCCTATAGATATTGCCTAGAAATCCTACTCCTTTCCCTAGTTTATTCACCTCCAAATGACTACTTCAGACTTCCTCCTCTCTTCTCCAACATTGAACACTCCTTCCACAAATCCTCATTTTTACCAGATAAGCCTGTATCTCTGCTGCTGACAAAACACTGAAGCAATAACAAGAGAATTTTCCGTTGTTCCCATCACCATTATCTACACAGTGCCTTCATCATATCCTACTATCCCTTCTGTTATTGTAAGTGAATTGTCCATGCTCCTTCTTAAGGATAATCTCTCCACTTGCATACTACATCCCATCCTCTCTGACCTTAAGGTCACTGCTCTAACAACTGTCCATTCTCTAGTAACTCATTCTTCTAAGTGTACAAACATGTTGTAATTTCTTTCATTAGAAAAAAAGCTTTCTGCTGACGCCACATTGCCCTCCAGATAATGCCCTCCTCGCAAAAAAAAAAAAAAAATCCTTAAAAAATTATCCCTATTTTCTCACTCTAATTCCTCTCTTCCCATTCTCTCTTGAATCCAAAAAAATCTTTTTCTTTTTCTTCCCCAAATCTTCACCTTATACTACTGAAAATGATTCTGGGAAGGATCAGTAATGACCACTACATTTTAAAATCCAAAAGTCATCTCAGTATTCTTCTTCTTAGTCAATAAGTATTATTTGATGTAATCACTCCTCCTACTTTGAAATGGACCCTTTTCAAGATATACACTGGGTTTGCTTCCAACTTCAGTAATCATTCTTCTCTGTTGGTCTCCCTCTTTCTGGCTCATCCTTATTTTTCTGACGTCAGAGTGCCTCAAAGCCCTACCCTCTTACCACTTTTCTATCAATATTTACCTCTTCTGAAATCTGATTCAGTTTCATCTCGTATTATTTAAACACTGCTCACTTCCAAATTTGTATCTCCAGCCAATACCTTTCATCTCTACTCCAGATCCATATTATGTATTTGCTACATAAATTCTCCACTTACACATCTAATAGGCATCTCAATTTTACTATGTCCTAAACCAGTGGTCGGCAAACTGCGGCTCGCGAGCCACATGCGGCTCTTTGACCCCTTGAGTGTGGCTCTTCTTAAGCCTTAGGAGTACCCTAATTAAGTTAATAACAATGTACCTACCTATATAGTTTAAGTTTAAAAAATTTGGCTCTCAAAAGAAATTTCAGTTGTTGTACTATTGATATTTGGCTCTGTTGACTAATGAGTTTGCTGACCACTGTCCTAAACTGAACTTTCAGTCTTCTCCCTGCAAAATGACCCCTCCTGTAGTCATTTCGATCTCAATATAAAAGATGTACATGATCTTTTACTGGTATACCTCTAGAAATGTATCCAATATCTGGCTATTTCTCATCATCTGCATCATTATTACATTGGTCCAAGTTCCATTATCCCTTGCTTACATAATCATTTTAACTGTCTAACCAGCCTCCCAGTTTCTGCCCTTAATATATCTGTAGTCTGATCTTAATATAGCAGTTGAGACTTTAAAAACCTAAAGGAGATTATTCCATTCCTCTGCTCAAAATCTGCTGGCAACACCCCATTCATTTCACTTATAGGAAAACCAAAGCCCTTATAATGCTCTACATAATCTAGCCCAAGTTTAAAAAAAAAGGGGGGGGGGGGGAGGAAGAGGTAGGCAAAGTACAGAAAACTGCTATTGATTTTTAAATAGTTTAGTTTAATTATAATAATAGCGTATTTACATCCATAGAGTATTTATTTACTATGTATGGATGTACCACTGTTCTAAAACACTTTACAAAAATTAATCCATTTAATATACATAACTATCCTGTAAAAGAAGTATTATTACTATGTTTTATGGATCAGAAAATGAAAGAACAAGATTAGGAGATCTGCCCAAGGACACACAGCTAGTAAATCAACAAAGCCAGAATTTAAAGTTTGGGCTCTAGAGTCTAAGCTCTTAACATCACTCTACACTGTAGAATACCATAAATTCAATGAATGAAAACTGATTTCTTTTAAAATATGAAAAACAAAAGCAAAAGAATACCACATATTAAAAGAATCAATATTTCTCTGGATCATAAGTTCTTAGCCAAACACTTTATGAAACTGCATTTAGTTTAAATAATCATATTTGGAAATGCCTATCACCAGTAATTAAGATGAGAAGAGATAGTCAAATTCCAATGGCTTTGTGACATTTAATTTTAGCTAAAAGTTTCAAGAAACTATTTCAGGGCTAAACTACATAAGGTCTCTTCCTACATTTGTATATTATAAAATATAATCTCACAGCAATTCATAATTGCAGAATAACAAAACAGAGAACTGTATACAATAAATATAAACAAGTAACACAAAAGGTAAATGATCTGGCTAAGAACTAGTAATAGTAGGGTTATTAACTAATTTTCAGGCTCAAAGAAATGACTGATTTAAGTCAAGTTTTTTAATGTGTTAAATCTAACACATTAAACTGCTAACATCGAACTTCCTTAGTCTTATCTAATCTTTCACTATTTTCCTGCTAATAGGCTAGCTATTTATCATGTTTAAATTAAAAGGACATCTTCCAGCATATTTACCTCTTACAATTGATATCTTGAGGAACTTAAAAATTAGATATTATCACAACAAACCAAGGAAAGAAAAGAACATGTTTTTAATATGAAACATCTCCCAGACTGAAATTTCTAAAATCTGTTACTAAAAATCAGTAAAATGCCTTTAGGAGAATAGATCTGGATTTAAGGTAGTCCAATAATCCTATATAATAAAGTGGTAACATGCAAATTAACCATCACACCATAACGCCGTCACAAGATGGCGGCGTGCACAGTGCGAGCGGGCAGCATGGGGCAGGGCTGGAGGCTGCTCCGTCCAGGTTCCGCCGGGGTTTCCACGGCTCTTCACACGCATGCCGTGGGGTCCCAGCAGCCACTTTACGTGACTTCTGCCAGTGTTTCCACAGCCTCGCATGCGCACCGCAAGAGTGGGGCCCAGCAGCTGCTGCGCGCGGCCTGGAGGCGGGGCATCAGGGCGGCACTCCAGGACTCGGAGTGATCCCATGGTGTGGGGGGGGAGAGGTCCCAGTTCTTGTGTAATTTCACGCAACTGGAATTCGTGCACGGGGGTTTGGGGGTCCCTCAGCCCAGCCTGCACCCTCTCCAATCTGGGAACCTTGGGGGATGTCCAACTGCCAGTTTAGGCCGGGACCACTGACTCCTAACTACTTGCCAGCCTGCCGGCCGGCCTAATCACCTCCAACTACCTCTGCCTGCCGGCCTGATTGCACCTAACCACCTCTGCCTGCTGGCTTGATCGCCCCCTAACTGCTCCCCTGCCGGCCTGATTGCCCCTAACCATCTCTGCCTGCCAGCATGATCGCCACCTAACTGCTGCCCTGCCGGCATGATCGTCCCCTAACTGCTCTCCCCTGCTGGCCTGATCGCCCCTAACGACCTCTGCCTCGGCCCCCACCACTGTGGCTTTGTCCGGAAGGATGTCTGGAAGATGTCCGTCTAATTAGCATATTACCCTTTTATTAGTATAGATAGCATAATACAAGGAGAAGATACCAATGCCTTCAATAAACTGAGTTATAATAATCTCACTAACCTGCTTGGTGGGAGTCCACTCTTGAACAAAGAAGGAGGAGAAGTAAACTCAGCTTTTGTAGATGGAAGTGCTGCTTCCTTTTCTGAATTTCCAGTTCTTCCCTGCTGTACCTTAAAAACAAAAAAAGTTATTAGCTTGTTTAATGAAATGAAATAGTCAAAAATAATACAATGAAGGTGTCCAAATAAATTTGTGACATATGATTTGAAATTAAATAAAAATAATGTTTTATTGCTGGATATTTAATAAAATTTACCTATTTTATAATAATATTAGGTGAAAGACACCAAAGATAGATTATGGGAATAAAGTGTTCCCAACAATTAAAAATTTCACATTAATGCCACTTAAAAGTCCAATAAAATATAGCTCTTTAGGACTTTCATTAATTCCCTTAAATTACCACTTTTAAGTCCATGGTTACCACTCCATGTTTCAGAGTTCAAGAAAGGGTCTGAACAACATTTCCCTTCTATATTCACTACCACTTAGCTAAGAAAGCCACCAGTGGCCATTTTAGCCATTCTGATCATTTTTTATTCAGACTGTGATTTGCTATAATACAACTATTAATGATCTACTCCTGCAGTTCTAACCACTCCTCACATTTTCCCACCATTATCAATATCCTGCCAGATCTATACACTGGCAAGCTGGAAGTCAGTCATCTGTCTCCTTATTACATCTTTTCAATCTACTTATTCCGTAACTTCTCCCAGATTTGTCCATCTTTTCTGTTCCTATCAGATCCTTTAAGTATGAACCAGTTGTTCTCCTTTACAATAGTAAAATGAATCTCCTTTATGCACTGTTTTTATACTCACCTTCCTATCTTAAAACGGTAATTAATTTATATTTAAACAAAATAAGTTCAAGCTGCCCTACACTTGAATATCATCACACCATAATTTGTGCCTATTTGTATTCTAGTGCCCTTGTTCAGACTAAATTTAGCATCTCTCTTCTTTCCCCATGAGGCAAAGGCCAAGAGAATCTCAGAAACCTAGCCTGAGTCAGTCAAACCACTGATTCAAATCCAGAAAACATCTAACTCTCAACTAATCATTGTGAGAAAAAGAAACCTTTACTTCTATATTTGAGCCATTACAGTTGGATCTCTTATTAATACTTCTGAACCCAATCCCTAATTGGTGCCCCCATATAATTAGGGTTTTACATTGGCATTTTATTTGAAAAAAAGAGTTCCACTGCTTAAAAGAAAAACATCCATTTAAAAGGCACTGACCCTAATGAGGAATGATGAGGATCAGAAAAAAATGGATTTGATAGATGTTTGACAGGTAAAATTGACAGAATGTAGTGATGGGAACTAAATATGACTCATTCATCAAACATTTACTAAATAACTATTTGTACCCGAAGCTGAGACCATGTGGAGAAATACAACAAAACTCCAGAATGTGGGAAAAAATAGACATAAAAACAATGACAGCAATGCAATAAATGCTATAAAAAAACGATGAGATAAAAGATGCTATGAGAACATAGAAAAAGAAGTGCATTACTCTTCCACGGAATATCAGACACATGGTCTCAACTGTTCCCCTGAGCTCCAGTAATTTATATCCAACTTCTTCCATGTCTGATGAATATCTCAAAACTTAACATGATCAAAACAAAACTACTGATTTCCCACTATCCTCCAATCTGATCCTAAGTCTTTATCACTCAAGTAAATGGCACCATCATCTACTGAGTTGCTCAAGACAAAAAAACAAAACAAAACAAAAAAAACTCGCAATTATCCAATACATATGAACATCCAATGTTAACTTTACCTTTATAATATACTAGTAGCCCGGTGCATGAAATTCGTGCATTGGGGTGGGGGTAAGGGCCCCTCAGTCTGGCCTTCACCCTCTCCAATCTGAGACCCCTCAGGGAATGGCCAACTACCTGTTTGTGCCCACACTTTTAACAGATAACAGCTCCACTGTTGTTTCTTTCTTATGCTTAAAACCATTGGAATTAGTAGGTATTCAAAGTGTGTATACATTTTGGGGGGACACCCTGTATATCTCTAGTCAGCGGTGAAAGAAACCAACAGCAGATTTGGAACCCCCAAACAGGGAACCTCGCTCACTCCCCACATGTCTCTCCACTTCACTTTCCACCTTCGTGGGCAGCAGGAGAAGCAACGTTTTCTCTCATTAATTTGGAAAAGCACGTCCTGTCACCCGCTGCCCGGCAGGAGTGCGCTAGGCCCCAAGCAAGCGAGGCTCAGTCAGGGCAGCCTTCACTCATAGGTGCCGGCACCCAAAGTGCACATTCCTCCTCTACAGTCACCCCGAATATCCCACTGTTTCACTGAGAGGACGGAATTCCTCTCCACCTCTGGGTTCTTGATCTTGAACGCTGACCGAAGGCACCTCAGCGAGGGCCGCCCGTGCCCACCAGATGTGTCCGTCTGCACCTGCTCCTGCCTCAGCACCTGCATTAACCCCCCAGAGGTGATCTCATAGTTGCACTGGCCTCCGTGGGAACAGGGCATCACCACTCCGCCCTCTGTCATCTCACAGGCACCCACCCTCAGCACCCAGAACATCCAGACACTCTCCAAAGGACATGAGCCCATCAGAGAGGATGTGTGCACATCCTGTGGGGGTGTTAGGCATGCTGGGTTGATGGAAGTGCGGTGGAGAGGTGGGGGGAACTTGTGCACGCCTTGGTTTGCAACTGTTGCAGGTGTGGGAGGGTGACAGTGTGCTGGGGGATGTTCGCACACCGGAGGCCTCTGGCTTTGCAGATCCGCAAACCCCCGTGGTGCAGCCAGGAGGACGTCAGTCTGGCCCACCACGGTGGCTGTCCCTGCAATCCTGTACTTTCTGGGCCAGGAGGCGGATCTTATGCAGCCACTCCTGGGAGCTGATGGCCTGCAGGTGCTACTTCAGCTCAGCCTGCAGGCTCCGCTTGACACGCTCACAGCTGTCACCACTGCCATGTGGGGAGTACAGGCCGCCCTCCGCCGGCCTGCCTCCCCTGTCCAGAGGCTCTCTGTGCTGCTCACCTGCCCAGAGTGACTGGGGCTGGGCGGAAGCCAGGAGTCCTGCCCTGCCCAACCCCAGCTGATCTGCCCCTGTGCGAGCTGCCGCCCCGTCGGGAAGGGTCACAGATCCGGGTCCCGGGACCAGGGACAGTCTCAAGCGCTGCCCCCCACCTGGCAGGGTCACAGATCCAGGTCCCGGGACAGCCGACAGACTCCTGCACTGCCCCACGTCCGACAGGGTCACGGATCCGGGTCCCAGACCGCGGACAGCCTTGCCCACTGCTGCCCGCCTTCAGTATGCAAATTAGCCGCCATCTTGTTGCTTCAGGGTGGGGGTCCCCACTGGGGTGCCTGGCTAGTCTGGGTGAGGGGCTGAAGGCCGTTTTCAGGCTGGCGGGCTACTGAAGCTCCCAACCTCTTCTTTTTTTCATTCTGGGATTTATTTACCTTCTATGGCTGTCACTGGAACTGAGAGCCGGCTTTAGCTCTGAGGCTCGGCTCCAGCTCTGAGACCTCAGCTGCTGAAAGCAGGGATCTGGGTTTGTTTGGATTCTATAATTGAAACACTGTTGCGGTCCTGCTGGCTGAAACCCGGCTGGCTGAAAGCAGGTTTCTGGAGATTGTTTCGCTTCTATAATTGCAACACTGTTTCTAAAGAGTGCAAGCTCAGAGGCCAGCAGCAGCAGGCGGGGAACCTTGGCTTCCTCCTTCACTGGAGAAAGCAAGCCTCCAGTTCGCTTCAGCTGCCTGGCTGCCGGCTGCCATCTTGGTTGGCAGTTAATATGCATATCGCCCTGATTAGCCAATGGGAAGCATGTCGGAGGTACGGTTAATTACGATGTCTATTATTAGATAGGATATCAAACTCAAGCATTTATCATTATGTCCACTCCTAAAAGCCAGGTCAAACCCACTGACACATCTCAACCATTCTACTAAATTAACTTGTATTTCTGCTTTGGTCTCACCTGTCTAAATTCCACCCTCTATATACAGTCAAAGCAATCTTATTAAAGTATAAATGAATTCATGTCTCTCCCTGTTCAAAATTTTCTAACAGTTTTCCAATGCAAAAAAAGTAAAAGCTAAACTTCTTATAATGGCCTGCAAGGATTTACATGGTGCAGGTTTGCAAACCTCTCCGACCTTATTTTCCTCTATTCCTCCCCAACTTATCTTTATTATGCCTACTCATAATGGCCTTTAACACAATGTATGCGGGAAGCGTATTTATACGTTTTACGTATTTATATGTTCTACCAGTGTAGTAGAGCGCGGGACACGTATTAATACGTTTTTTACAGACTAGCGGTAGAATGCGGGTAACGTATAAATATGTAAACTGAAGTTACTGTAATTTTACTGAATGTTGCCATTTGCGAAAAAATTAGCAAAAATGGCCTGCGCCACCTGTTAGCGCGCGATAAAAACTACCCGCAAACAATGTGTTAAAATTTTTTTTACCTTATTCCTCTTTGTAACAACTTTAGCACTAGATATTCCTTTTACTTGGAATATTCTCTCCCCAGTTTGTCTCATGGATATCTCTAATCATTCAACTATCGTTCAAATGTCTTCTTGTTGTGGCCTTCTCTAATCATTCCTAAATAATGTCTATCCTATTATCATTTTGTATTTTCTTTAGAGAATTTCTCATTAGTATCATTATCTGAAGTTGAATTATTTACTATTGTATGGTTATAGTCTATTTGCTGACACTTCAACATACAATCTTTGAAAACATGGACGACATTCACTTCAAATCTATATCCCAAGTACCGAAAAACAGTGCCTGTCATGCAATAAGTGCTTAATATATTATATGTCATTTGACTGACTTTGGGATTCTGCTGAAATGTCAGTTCTCCCAAGTTTGTAATAGGACACAGAGGTTATAACTAAATAATTTTTGGCATTACCTATTTAACACCTAAATTATCCATGAAGTCAGATAAACTCTAAGATACAGAATCTAAGTATGTCTAAAATGTTCACCTCCCCTCAGCACCCAACCTGAGAGACTTCCTGGCACAGTCAATGCTCAATTAAAAATTGGGATGGGGGAGGAGGAAGGGTTGGAAAAGCAGAAGAGGAAAGGAAAAA